ACTGACACAGAGCAGAATAGAGACTGTTCCCCCTACATCGAGTCACTTGGCAGATATGGATTGACACCTGTCCTCAGAGACCATGATGCACACTGACACAGAGCAGAATAGAGACTGTTCTCCTACATAGGGTCACTTGGCAGATATGGATTGACACCTGTCCTCAGAGACCATGATGCACACTGACACAGAGCAGAATAGAGGCTGTTCTCCTACATAGGGTCACTTGGCAGATATGGATTGACACCTTTCCTCAGGGACCATGATACACACTGACACAGAGCAGAATAGAGACTGTTCTACATAGGGTCACTTGGCAGATATGGATTGACACCTGTCCTAGGGATACACACTGACACAGAGCAGAATAGAGACTACATAGGGTCACTTGGCAGATATGGATTGACACCTGTCCTCAGAGCCCCTGATACACACTGACACAGAGCAGAATAGAGACTGTTCCTCCTACATAGGGTCACTTGGCAGATATGGATTGACACCTGTCCTCAGAGATCATGATACACACTGACACAGAGCAGAATAGAGACTGTTCCTCCTACATAGGGTCACTTGGCAGATATGGATTGACACCTGTCCTCAGAGACCATGATACACACTGACACAGAGCAGAATAGAGACTGAGGGTCACAGATATGGATTGACACCTGTCCTCCTGATACACACTGACACAGAGCAGAATAGAGACTGTACATAGGGTCTTGGCAGATATGGATTGACACCTGTCCTCGGAGATCATGATACACACTGACACAGAGCAGAATAGAGACTGCTTCCCCTACATAGGGTCACTTGGCAGATATGGATTGACACCTGTCCTCAGGGACCATGATACACACTGACACAGAGCAGAATAGAGACTGTTACCCTTACAAAGGGTCACTTGGCAGATATGGATTGACACCTTTCCTCAGAGCCCCTGATACACACTGACACAGAGCAGAATAGAGACTGTTCCTCCTACATAGGGTCACTTGGCAGAAATGGATTGACACCTGTCCTCAGAGACCATGATACACACTGACACAGAGCAGAATAGAGACTGTTCCTCCTACATAGGGTCACTTGGCAGATATGGATTGACACCTGTCCTCAGAGATCATGATACACACTGACACAGAGCAGAATAGAGACTGTTTCCCCTGCTCAATGACTGTGCTGCTCTTACCCTTCATCAATCCTTAGTCCCTACATCCTGGAACAGCTATAAGTATGTGCCCCACGAGGCAATCCACCACAGTGCCTGACTGCCCAACTTTGTACACAGGGTAGATTGTAGATGTCCATAGGCACGTATAACTTAAAAGAACCATCCCTATAGGCTCCCCCCACACTCTTTGCCTTACACTCCTAGGCCCACCTTTCAGGGATCCTAAAACAGGGAAGTCACCGAACCCATAGACGAAGGAGGGTATCAGGGGAGAAAGAGGGGGAAAATTAAATTAAATACACAACTCTCAAAAAAAACAAAACATATTTGTTAAGGACCATCATAGGACCCCCAGAAGACCTTCCCCCCCCCCAGGGTACCTACCGCCCACTTGAAGGTTATCACATACCAACGCAGATCCCAGGCCAGACGACAAGGCAGTGGGGAAGAGGCCCATCGCACCAGGCTTAATAGCTGAGGTCATCAGTCTCCAACACCCATCCGCCCATACAACTAGATAAACCAATCCAAGCGGAGCTCATTCCGATTGGGATAGCGACCAACCGGACCCCCCATTTTATTTTTCTATCACACGGTAGACCTGCGGTCAACCACCCCCTCCGCCCCCTCAGGATAATACGTGGAAAAATATAGGCGTGGCTATACGCATGCCTATACCAGTAGATAACTGAACCTAGGCCCATAGGGCCTACACCAAGGTGACATATAGGTTCTCGGAGAGATAGACCATCTCGGCTGAGACAGTTACCACAGGTACTCATGCACCTGGCACAGGTGCAGGTTACAATTGAAGTTTGTGTTACTCATTGATTGTTCATTGAAGTTGAATTATTTGTCTTGTTCTAGTGCATCTTTGCTTGAGATTCTCTGCTTATCTTTGTACAGACAGGTCTGTGGCCAGGCGCTGGGCGGAGGCACGACGCTAACCCTAGATAACCCTAAGGTACCAGACAGACAATGACTACCCTACGTATAATCACCCTTAATGTAAGGGGATTGAACTCCCCTGAAAAAAGATCCCTAGCCTTTACAGAGCTACATAGACTGCGCGCAGACGTAGCGTTCCTCCAAGAAACCCACTTCAAAAAAGATAGAGCCCCCAATTTGAGAAACAACAGATATCCCACAAACTATTTTGGACATTTCGCTGAGAAAAAAACCAGAGGAGTGGCCATATTAATATCCGCCCAAGTACCTTTTACGCTCATTGACCAGAAAACGGACGACTCAGGGAGGTTACTGCTAGTAAAGGGGACCGTGGGACAAAATAAAATCACCTTTGTAAATATGTGCATGCCTAATACCGGCCAATGCAAGACCCTTAAAAAATGCCTACGCTGGATAGACACTTTTGCAGAGGGCATACTCATAATGGGGGGAGACTGCAACATGTCACTAGACTCTGCTTTAGACACTACATCGGCCACCCCCAACAGATACGACTCTCTCCGTAAACACTTCTCTCGTCTCCTGGACAGCGCTCAACTCTATGACTGCTGGAGACTAAGTCACCCCAATAGGAAGGACTATTCATACTACTCACACGCAACCCACACATATTCCAGGTTAGACATGTTCTTTAATGTCATCGTGCTCATACGGCCCTATCACATGGTCTGACCACGCACCCCTGTCTCTTGCCGTCCACATACCCTCTCTACCCCTGAAAACATACCAATGGAAATTAAATGACTTACTACTAAATGACAAAGTAGTGATAAAAAAGATACACAACTCCATTCAACAGTACTTCACAGAAAACACTTCGCCACAGACCTCCCCCCCTGTGACATGGGAAGCACATAAGTGTGTACTAAGGGGACAGCTCATAGCCATCGCATCCACACACAAAAAAAAGAGGGAGGGTCAAATCAAAACCCTCACAGAGGATATAAGAGCTCTAGAGGCAACACACCACAACAAAGACTCATTCCAGACATATAAGGCACTGCTCGCGAAACGCACAGAGCTACAACAACTGTTAAACACACGGGTCCAACGTACGCTGCTACGCACCAAACACTCCTATTTTTATTATGGAGGCAAATGCGGCCGTCTCTTAGCCTCCGCGCTA